CTTTGATTCACAAGAGTTGGAGAGCGATGAACAAGAGGTCGACGTACCCATGGATACCGACTCCCAAAGCGATAGTCGTCGGCCTTATTATATACGAAAACTGCACGAAATGGTGATAATTGGCGAACCATTTCTGAACATCAATTGCAGACACATTCAGAGTTTTGATTCCGTTCTTTACCGCCAATTGGTTTCATATCCACAAGAAGTGATTCCGACATTCGATATGGCAGTCAATGAGGTCTTCACTGAACTCTATCCCGAAGGCATCGCAGAAATGGATCGCATTTGTGTCCGCCCTTACAATGTGATCAAGACATCCACTTTGCGTGACTTGAATCCGGAGGATATCAACCAATTGATAACTATCTCAGGAATGGTAACCCGTTGTTCAAACATAATCGCCGAGATGTGTGTCGCGTACTTCGAGTGCACGGTCTGTAACTTCGGTCTCACCGTTGAAGTGGATCGCGGATCCATTGCTGAGCCCCACGTCTGTCGACAATGTAATACAAACTTCTCGTTCCGTTTGGTCCACAATCGCTCGCAATTCACAGACAAACAGCAAATCAAACTCCAGGAGTCACCGGACGATATGCCGGCCGGACAGACCCCTTACACTGTGCTTCTGTACGCCTGTTCTGATTTGGTGGACAGAGTACAGCCGGGAGAGAGGGTGACAGTGACCGGCATCTATAGGGCGACACCCATTCGTGTCCATCCAAACAAACGCAATGTGAAGTCTGTCTACAGAACACACGTCGATGTCGTCCACTATCGCAAAGTCGAGATCAAACGTCTTCACGACGACGGATATCAACTGAAACTCTCGAAGGAACGCATCGATCAGTTGATTGCACTCTCGAATAAGTCTGACATTTATGAACGACTGGCCATTGCATTGGCGCCCAGTATTTACGAGCACTTGGATATCAAGAAAGGCATTCTTCTGGCGTTATTCGGTGGCACTCGAAAGGAGTACAACCAGTCGGACAACAACCCGACCGGAAAGTTGCGAAGCTTTCGGTCTGAACTGAATATATTGCTTTGTGGAGACCCGGGAACCAGTAAATCACAACTTCTTCAGTACGTCTATAATCTGGTGCCGAGAGGACAGTACACGAGTGGCAAAGGCTCGTCGGCTGTCGGTCTCACTGCTTACGTAACCAAAGACCCGGACACTAAGCAAATGGTTCTGCAAACGGGAGCCCTTGTACTGAGTGACGGCGGCATCTGTTGTATCGATGAATTCGACAAAATGTCTGATTCGACGCGTTCTGTACTCCACGAAGTCATGGAACAGCAGACCCTTTCCATCGCAAAGGCTGGTATTGTGTGTCAACTGAACGCTAGGACATCCATACTGGCGGCCGCCAATCCAGTGGAGTCTCAATGGAATAAAAACAAAACGATTACCGAAAACATTGAATTACCGCCGACTCTGATGTCGAGATTTGATTTGATTTTCCTGATACTCGACCCACAGGAAGAGGAGTACGACCGCCGACTCGCCAAACATCTCGTGTCACTCTATCACAGGTCACGAGACGACGAAAGAGAGGAGTTTCTGGACTTAAGTGTCCTCAAGGACTACATCGGATACGCGCGACTCAACTTCCATCCGGTGCTCTCGGAAGAGGCCTCTCAGGCCCTAAAGCACGCGTACGTCGAGATGAGGAAAGTTGGCTCCGGAAAGGGTCAGATCAGTGCATATCCGCGACAATTGGAGTCATTGATCCGTTTGTCTGAAGCGCACGCGAAGATGAAGTTTAAGAATGTTGTGGACGTCGAGGACGTGGAAGAGGCCCGAAGACTACATCGGGAGGCCATCAAACAGTCGGCCACCGATCCCTTGTCCGGAAAGATAGACATTTCGATTCTGACTACAGGTATGAGTGCCTCGAGTCGTAAGAAGCGAAGCGAGTTATCCCAGGGTTTGAAACAACTCTTGCAATCAATGGGAACAGAGAAGGGCTCACAGACTGAGTCACAGCAACAGTTCAGTTACCAGACTGTCTTCAATGAGTTCAAGAGCTCCACCACTCTTATGGTCTCACGAGATATGTTCGACGACTCACTCAAAGCCCTTCAGGACGAGGGCTTCCTTACCCTCATTGGCACCAAATTCATACGAATCAACACTTAAACTGTTCACTATTTTT